CGGGCTTAAATGCTTTTATTTTCTTTATACAGTAGCTCTCTCTTTAAAGGACACTTATTTGCAGAGTCAAAGTGTCCTTTAGGGAGAGGTGTCCTAATACCGTAGGGTTGCTAAATAGTAAAAATGACAATTTTGCAATTCAAAGCTTTATAAAGCAAGCTGAATAATGAAGAGGTATTACAATCATTGTTTTACCAATTGGGAGCCATTTAAAAATAAGTGTTTTTACACAAGTGTGCAAAACATCTTCCTACCTCCCATATTTGAACCAACATTTCCAATTAGCAATCTAAACAATGAGGGGGTTAGCTCATTATTCTACCATTGTGTTTTATATTTGTTCACACATAAATTTGTGTGAAATATTTCTTGGAATGGTATTCCAATGGCAAATATTTTATTCATTAATTAGAGAGGGCTCGTATCCACAAAATTGAATAAAAAATATATTGAAAGACAATTTGAAAGACATCGGGATATATATCAAAAGAATCACTTTAAATGATAAAAGTCACTAAATTTTATGATATTGAATCACTTTCGTAATATAAATATATTGTATATTTATAAGGATATATCTGTGTTTCCTCTATAAACCATTATTTATAAGAAATAATTTTTAAAAGGTCTATATATTTATATCTTTACATATTTAAGTGTCAAATATATACCGTACATTTTAGTGCTGATGACATTTTCTGTATTTAAAGTATTCGAGATTTATAGAACAATAAATAACAATTACATTAATAGTTATAAAAGTTATTTTCAATATTTACATGTGATTTTGTTGTAAATGAAAATTATTGACTTTGTTTTGAGAATCTTTTGAAATTCATAGATACAAATTCCTGAAAAATGAATATGGAAAAAAATTTTGGATATTAAAGATGAAAATTTCAGGTCTTATATATATGAAATTACAATAATTTAATGCACGTTATCTTTATATAGAATGTTTTGCCGTCGCGTTTAAATCATATTTTAAAAAGTGGAAACAACCCTCATAAAATTTACTTTTAATATATTTTAAATAAATTATTTTTATTTTTTAATAGTGAAATTAATTAAGGACATTTTTATTTATAGAAGACAATTTTTATTTCAATAAGGACATTCTTATTTGGGCATCTATAAAGGTTTTGCACATTAGACAATATTTTTATAAAAGCGATATTATAAAGTCAAAAAGGCGAATATGCACTAACAAAAAAATCTTAAATCTTAATAAAACAAACACAGATTCCATTGCTCTGCCTATTTTAAAGCTCAGACCCCTCTTTTGAGTGTACAGACTTGGAAAATAACTTTAACTAGAGGCAGCAGACTGTCTGATGATACTGAGCCATTATCCTATTAGACCTGAGGAAGCCATTGATGATTACGATCTAATTGACCCTGAAGCATAAATAAAGAAAAGCCACATTGAAGAGTCTTGGGTCAAAAATAGAGCGAGGTTTTCTTGGAGGACAATTCAATATCTATGGAAACACAATCAGGACAATGCTCTTATTGCTGAACCTTGGACATTGCCCACCATTTTTTTTTCATATAGCCAAACTTTTATAATAAAAATGATATTATAAATAATATTTATAAGCACTTTTCTCGCAAAAATAAAAGTTTTAAAATTAAAACGTCAAAAATTATTATTAACAATTTGGGTTTATAGTCTAATGATATTGGATTATAAGCACAGATTTAATTCATTTTCGCAACTTGTGTAAAACATTAATAACTAATTTTAATGATTGCCTCCAATATCAATGGTCGTCGATTCCGCCAACATAGTGGAGACTGACCAGTTCTCAAAGACAGCTGAAGCTGCCCGGCCTAGCGGAGGTTGCCCAGCCTTCTACAATAGATCGCCCAGGTCTCCAAGTCAGCGGAGGTCGCCCACTCCTCCAAGACTGTGAAGGTCACTCAGGCCTCAAACATGGAGGAGGTTGCCCAGTTTTGCAATGCAGAGGAGTTAGTCCAGACCTCCAATACACCGTAAGTTGCCATCTTACCTCCAAGATAAGAGGAGTTCGCCTCATCCTCCCTGACAATGGAGGATGGTCATTCCTCCACCACAACGGAGGTTGCCCAAACCTCCGTCAACCGAGGCGATGGTGTTGGCTCTCTCCGCTGGGATGAGCATATCGTCCTGGAGACCTCGTATACCTATATCCCCTATCAGCTAACACCAAACGAAAAACCCCGCCCCGCCGCCCTCTCCTTCTCCCCAACTCCCGAGGGAGTTTACTGGGGGAAGGAAAGGAGGGGGTGGTGTCGTGTGGAGGGGAAATCATGCTAGCTAGGGGGACAGTCATACCAATCATCTGAGGTGAGAGACATGGGAGACGAGGACACGGGGTGACACGGAAAACAGGTTAGTAACAACGAGGGGAGGGACAACCAACAACAGAGGTGGACACAAGGGGAGGAACAAGGGGACAGGGAGGGGTTAGTAAACAGAGAGAACAAGGACAACGGGAGAGAACAGTACATAAGGGACGAATGGGTAGACAAATCATCGCTGTGAGGTGGACATTCAGGAGGAACAGTCAAGTGAGAGCTAATAGAGGGTATAGGTGCACGCTGTTCCACAACAATATATTCTTCCTCCCTAAAACAATTAAAGCTACTTTAGTCTCTTTATTTCTCTCTATATGTGAAAACTATGCACTTGATTGACTGACAAGATGCCAATAAAATTTCTTAAGCTCACTGTCTTTCTCTCCTCTTTTTTATAATAATTCACAGTTATAGATCTAATAAACACTTATTATATATTGTTACGACTCTTCTCAGCCGTCGATGTTTGCGTGCAAGGTTTCTGAGAAGACAATGTGGGTTCATTTTGGATACAGCTTAGTACTATAAATTTATTACCAGAACTTTAAAAGGGATATTAATAACTGTACATAGGAGATTGATTTGCCTTCATTGCCGCCCCAGGTAGGTTCCTCCTCGTCCTTCTTTGCTCCGTCCTCCACTTGTTAATCCACACAGTCCCCGGAGCCCACTTCCCCCTTAGCCAACTTGCCGCGTCTGTCGTCACCGCCGTTCTCCCTCACTCCCCCGCTTCCTCCCACTTTTGAATGTCGTCTGGACCTTGTCTACCCCCAGACACGTGGGCCATCCTCCCGCAGCTGGAAATCATCCACGTTTCCACAACTTCACCCTGGGACCTCTGCCTCTCTGATATCTTGTCATACAGTGAGGAAAGGATTACCCATATTACAATATATTTGGACTCAATTAATATATAACAACACTCTCTGTAGCGTGTACCATATAACCTGTATTATTCTACATGTAAAGCTCCATATAGTTAACAACAACATATCTACATACTATATATAGTGTGCAATGACAGGAAACTTTATTCTTGTAATAAACACATATAATTATATTTTATATATAATTATAGAAATTATTCAATCAAAGGAGAAATATATTTCGGCATAAAACTTTGAAGATTTTTTCATAAAATACGAGACTGATGCATTGACATTAGAAAATTGGGATATATCTTAAAATACAAAATTTTGGTTATTAAATATATATTGACCCTACATCATCATATTAAGCTGAAAATATATTGAACAGTTGTATTTTTGCTTATTTTGTGAGTATCAATAATAACAGAAATAATGAATACAATATATAAATAAATATGTCTATATTTTAAAATTTTCCAAACAACTCTGTCCTAGTGTTGCAAATAAATGCTTATTTTATTTCTGCCATTACAAATTTAAAACAGGTATTTAGAAAAAAAACTTTAATCATACTTTAAAAATACCTAATTAATATATTTAATGTGTTATATGAAATTCCTCCCCATATTCAAAAATCCTCCACCTATTCAAAAATGTTAAGAAATGTTATCATAAAAAATTATTGGTATTTCGGTAATAATATACACAACATTTTGATTTTGTAAACATCTCTATTCTTATTAAAACATTATATCATTTATAGGTTCGTTTAAAACTTGCTACTCTCAGATTCTGTTTGTTTCCATAAACTATCAGGTATTAATCTAGAGTAGAATTTAAAAAAAAACTCTCATTTCATTTTAATATCAATTTTAATCTCAAAATTCCTTCAGATTTGTTTACTTTGTTAATATCAATCCATGAGACTCTCACTTATTTCTCTTCTCCTGGGCATGGGATAAACAACACGTGTGTGAAGCCAAATCTCTATAAAGATTTCCACACAGTTAATCTATTTAAACTACAAAACAAAAATACAGTTATTTCTTGCCTTTAAAACATTTCTATTTTAAAATTGTCGATTAGGTTAATAGTATAGCTCTTCTTTATATACAAGGATTCTATAGAAATACCTACAAATTATTTGAATGAAAATTATGAAAGAAGCGTAAATTCTTTGGAAGAGATAAATAATTTTGTATGTGAAAAAATAGTACAAATGTAATGTTGTACTGGGATAAGGTGCATAAATTAAGAAAAAGGCATCTCCTTATCGTGCAACTGAAATTTGCTGATGACTTGCGCCATTTATCGGAATAAATATCAACTATTCTCGTTGATTTTTAATTATTCCTTTCCGTGGTTAGCTTTTTCTTGATTAATCAAGAATGGGTATTTGGCCAATTCTAGAATAATTAAAAATCAACGAGAATAGTTGATATTTATTCCGATAGATGGCGCAAGTCATCAGCAACTTTCAGTTGCACGATAAGGAGATGCCTTTTTATTAATTTTGTATGTGTTTGTACTCTGCTTGTGATATGTTTATACATTTGAATATGTTCTGCCATGAACTTGCAGCTTTCAAATCTTGGACATTTACTCAAGTTGTTGCTCCTTTGCTAAAACACCAGTGTTAGTTCTCCTCTAATCCTAAACTATACTTAACTATAAAGTGTAGTAAATCCACTTACCTATTACGTCTCTTCTTCTTGCTACAGTAGCCCCCATGGTGCTCGCTTGGTTGCTTCGGTCAAAAAAGATCGCTTGGATCACAGGATCGCCCGATTCACAAGATCACTCAGATCACACAAGATCTCCTTCAAAGATCGTTCAGATCACATAAGATCTCCTTTAAAGATCGCTCAGATCACACAAGATCTCCTTCAAAGATCGTTCAGATCACACAAGATCTCCTTCAAAGATCGTTCAGATCACACAAGATCTCCTTCAAAGATAGCTCGGTTCACACAAGATCTCCTTCAAAGATCGTTCAGATCACACAAGATCTCCTTCAAAGATCGTTCAGATCACACAAGATCTCCTTCAAAGATCGTTCAAATCACACAAGATCGCCTTCAAAGATCGTTCAGATCACACAAGATCTCCTTCAAAGATAGCTCGGTTCACACAAGATCTCCTTCAAAGATCGTTCAGATCACACAAGATCTCCTTCAAAGATCGTTCAAATCACACAAGATCGCCTTCAAAGATCGTTAAGATCACACAAGATCTCCTTCAAAGATAGCTCGGTTCACACAAGATCTCCTTCAAAGATCGTTCAGATCACACAAGATCTCCTTCAAAGATCGTTAAGATCACACAAGATCTCCTTCAAAGATGGTTCAGACCACACAAGATCTCCTTCAAAGATCGTCCAGATCACACAAGATCTCCTTCAAATATCGTTCAGATCACACAAGATCTCATTCAAAGATCGTTCAGATCACACAAGATATTCTTCAAAGATCGTTCAGATCACACAAGATATTCTTCAAAGATCGTTCAGATCACACAAGATCTCCTTCAAAGATCGTTCAGATCATACAAGATCTCCTTCAAAGATCGTTCAGAGATCACACAAGATATTCTTCAAAGATCGTTCAGATCACAAAAGATCTCCTTCAAAGATCGCTTCAAAGATCGTTCAGATCACACAAGATTGCTCGGATCACACCATATTGCTCATATCACACAAAATCACTTGAAAAGTTCGCTTAGGTCGCTTGCTAGTCGCTTGAGTTGCTCGCTAGATCGCTTTAGTTGCTAAAGTGAGAAAGTCTTTGTTGTGGTGGCCTCAATGGAAGTCCAGAGGGTAGCGGGTTGGAATTAAATAATAGAAATTGGGGACTTTTATAAACAAATATATAAATATAGATAAAAAAAGAGGCATATCCAGACAGCTCACATGGGCATTTTTAGATGGCAGAGCGCCATTTAGTGGAACAAAAGCCAACTAAACGTTGATTTAACTTGTTTCTTAATATTCGGCCAACCCATTTTCTTGATAAATCAAGAAAAGCCAACCACAAAAGCGTTTGAGCTTGTTGGCCCTCGTCAGCGTGGTGCAAGCTGTACCTCTACGACCAAAAATTGGATCCTAGAGAAACTTCCTAATAAATCAAGAAATGGGTATTTAAGGCCTAATTTGTGTAAATACGCTGATCATGTGAAAAAATAAAAAGAAAAATGGTCAGGTGTTCATATTAAAAACAAAAAAGACATATCCTGACTGTTTACATGAGCACATTCTAATTTTTTTTTTCACAAAAATATCTTTCACATGATCCGCGTATTTACGCAAATTTGGCTTCAAATACCCATTTATCGATTTCTCAGGAAGACTGAGACTAAATTTTGGTCGTTGAGACACAGCCTGTACTGTGCTGAAGAGAGCCAACGGCCAGAAACACATACGTGGTTGGCTTTTTGTGATTTACCAAGAAAATTGGTTGGCCAAATATATCATGGAACAAGTTAAATCAACATTTAGTTGAATTTTTGTTCCATTAGATGGCGTTTTGCCATATAAAATCCTCATGTGAGCGTTTATGATATGCCATATTTTCTTTTAATATATATAAAACTAGCGAACCCGGCCACGCGTTGCTGTGGCTAAATTGTAATATATTAAATTAACATTATACTAAACTATTCAGTACAGTAAAGTAAATATTCACTTATGAATATAAAAATGTTTCAGCCGATCTAAAGCCCTACGGGATTGAGAATGGAACGTTACGTTAAAATTTGAAAGTGATTTTTATATATATAGATAATATAGCCCTTCATTGTAAGCATTGATTATAATCACTGCATTAATAAATGTCAGTGAACTCGTTTATATGTATTGTTTTTGTTTTCGAGATATTCTAATAGAACGTTCTCACATTTTCTGTAAAATATTTATATATGCACAAACACAGAATATAATCACTGTCTTAATTTCGCTATAATAATTGTTATAAATATTATTCTAAAATAATTCGCCAGAAATCGTCCTGATAGTATATTAAACAACTTCCCAAAGTGTCATGGCAAACATCTAAAATAAAATAATACTTTTAATACTTTGCTACAATATTAAAAAGAGGGGGGCTTAGGTGTTTAAAATGTAAAATGTGATCTAAATAGTATTACATAGAGCCTTCATAACAAACATATTTAAAATTAACCAATCAAAATATAATAATGCTGTAAAAACAGACCTTGCTACGATAATATAAAAGAAATGAAAATAAAAAAAGACACCCACGCTGAGCCTCGAACCTAGGTTTGCTACAAATATTGTTAAAAAATTGTTTATGTTAATTTTTATTTTAAAAAGCCTACATTTTAAATAAAATAATATTTTTACTAATTTGCTACAATAATATAAAAGAAATGAAAAAAAAAAAAACACCCACGCTGAGCCTCGAACCTAGGTTGCGGGGGTACGAAGCTGTGTGCCTAACCTATAGGCTAAGCTTGACGTTACATATAAGCTCATGCGAGGCTATTTCAGGCCATACGTCTGCCGCGAGGGGGCGCTGATTGCGAGTGAATTTACGTTTTATTGTAAATAAAAATGCAACGAAAGGTTATTTCTAAAGAGTAATTAGCCAGAAACCATCCCGGTAGTATACTAAACATCTTGCCAAAGTTTCATCACGATTGGTTGAGCGATGTAGAAGATTATCACTGACGAACGGACGGACGGACGGACCAACGGACCAACAAACATCCATTTTTATATATATAGATTAGCGAATGTACCCGACTTCGTCCGGTTTTAGTCCCCGAGTGAAAGTTTTCTTAAGAAACATTTCATAGAGAAAAAATATATTTTCTGGAAAAACCTTCACACTCTCTATACTGAATCTATTCCTGTAAAGATAAATTGATTGCTTATATGCTTTTCTTCATAAAACTACTAAATAAATCATTGGAAAATTTTGCATATTGGTATCTGAATATACAAATTAACATTAAAGCTAATCAAACACTTAAATTAGAGATTCGTGGTCCATTTGGATGAGGAAAGTGAAGACTAAAACGCGGCTGATTCCACACTCGCCTCTTCAGTGATACGCTAACCTATGCAAGGTGGATTCTGTGGCCACTGGACATGCGTCGGACCTGGAGGTTGTTGGGTTCTGTGTTGCCTGGAGTATAGAAGCTCTATCTATGTTTCCTTCCTGTGGTGAATCTGTATAAAACCTGTGGTCTAAATGAAGCTGTGTGTATAAATTAGACAATAAACAGAACCATTTTGCATATTTTGGTGTTATAAAATCATGATAACTTTTATATACTGACACACCCAATAGCCTAGCTTTGCCTGGCTTATCCCCTAGTGAATGTTTGCCGGGCGAATATTGATTTTAACATGAATGTTTTATTCCATGGAAGCAATGGTCGCCTCTCCCGTCAAAATAAACGTCAGAATCTGACGCCATCTATTGACCGTCGCCGCAACTAGCGGCATCGGGTCGGTGACAAAGCCACAACACCAACTTTGACAAACTGAAAAGCGTCCACCTAGAGACCATGGTTTCGGGCTAATGGCCCTCGTCAGTCTAGGGCGGACTTTATTCCATGATAATTATTACCCATGAGAGGATTCAAATATTAATGTATTTTAAAAACTATTATAATCATTTTATGTTTCATTTTAAATATTTATTTTTAAAATTAATTTTTACTTTAGAGTGACACGATTCCATTATAGTCAGAAAAAGTATTTGTTGAAGCATTCTTGTTTTTAAATATCAATGTTTACATGTTTTAAAAATAAAATAAAAATGATACATATGCAAGCGTGTTGGATCATGTTTTGATGGTGGCCTAAGGCAAAGTAGCCCTAAAAAGGATTTCGTCGAACCATAAACGGTCAAATCTAGGACAAAAAGTTCAATGAGGTGCGAGTTGATAAGAGATTTCCAAGAAGACCAGACGGCTGGGAGCCGTGGCGTGCTCCTGTAATCCAGCTACTTGGAGGCCGGGGTTGGTGAACGGCTTGAGGCGGGGAGTCCTCCCTTCTGTCTCCCTATGTTGACCGGATGTCCGCACTAGGCCCAGTGTCAATATGGCGACTCCGGGGGAGCCCGGGGCCTCCAGGTCAGCTAAGGAGGAGTGGACCGGCCCAGGGCGGAAACGCAGCAGGCAAAAGCTCCCGCGCAGGGCGGTAGTGGGATCGCGTCCAGGAATAGGGACCAAATGGGAGCCTCGCCGATATAGTTGGACCCAACTCTTTTTTTTTTAAACTTGTTATTTTATTCTTTGAAGGCCTTCAAATTTATTTTTAACGACCTATGAGGGCTACATAAAAGTTATCGGTTCGATTCCCAATGCTGCATTCTTTTTTTTTTTTTTTTAATTATTATTATTTAATTTTTTAAAATTGATATTATATACAGTGGTGGTGGTGCTTATCTTCAAATTTATTATTCTATCCTATACATCCAATTATATACAGTAGAACCTATCTGTAAAGGACAACACCTAATTACAGAGCCAAAGTGTCCTTTAGGGAGAGGTATCCTCTTACCGGAGAGTTGCTAAATAGTAAAAATGGTAATTTTGCAAATGAAAACTGTCCTTTGTAGAAAGGTGGCTGCTAAAGGGAGGTTATACTCTCTGTATTAATTATATAAAAAAAATCAATCATTTATAATTATTGAGAATTTCGTCTACTCACATAGATTGTACTATGTTTCACAAATAGATGCACATATGTCAGCATTTGAGAAAGGATGTTGAAATGCCTGTTAAAGCATTCTTGATTGGGCAAACATTCACTAGGAGAAAACTCAGGCGAAGCCGGGCAATAATTTATTATCGCGTGAGAACGCCCTTAGAGCCTTAGAATAATTTTTAACGCCTTGCTATATGTTTTAATTTTTGTTTGCTCCTGATGAGGACAAAAGCTTTTTGTCGAAACGCCGAGGCAATAAAAAGATTTATACTGGCCGAAGTATCTTTTTTCAAGAAATATGAATGCCGGCCAGGCAGCCTCTATCTTCACGATGTAAATATTTTATTAAAAAAACAGCATTTTATATTTTATACATATACACTATGATAAAAATACATTCGAGTAAATTCTAGGCATTGCTCAGGTCATTTAGCTATATAGTTAATTGTTCCAAAATCACTTTATTAGGTATCGCTCAAAAAGAGAAACCTAGTTTATGATATTTGCAACAATGAATAATATATGAAGGTTATTCATATATTAAACAAAATGTTAACGTGGGATTCAATCCCGGTTCATGACTGTCGGGAATCGAGGGTGTTACCCACGTGTCCACCGACTCTTCTATATAGTTAAGAATCAAATTATTCTAGAAGTAAGCTTTAATAAGATTTCTTAAAACAGTGTTTTGGTAAAATATCTATTCTAGCAGAATATTGATGTATTTAAAAAAATGTTTTCAAAGCTATGATGATGTTTAATAATAATGATTTAACACTATCATATCTTCAATGTCCAAGATAAATTTAAAACTTTAATTTTTCACAAAATAAATAATAAAATCACTGCATATATTATTTTAAAGATAAATTTGTATTTGTTACCGTTCTCCAAAAAAACTACTGAAAAAACATTGGAAAAATATGCATGTTTATAACTGAATATAAAGAATAATATTGTAACGTAGAAAATTAGGATAGACAAACTTCAGATTGAGACGGCAATATATTTAATATAAAACAAAATCCCTATATATATAAAAGTCAGTGTATGTATGTATGTATGTGGGTATCTATGTCGGCTATACACGTCCACAATACGTAACTAATCTGACTGAAATTTTAACAGTATATAGAATAGAATCTGGAAAAACTTATAGTGAAAATTTCAGGTCTCAATCCCGAATATTCTTCGAGTTATTTGCAAATTGCGTTGCAAATTTGCCTTTTCGCTCGCAAGCAGCGCCTCTAGCGGTGAAGATGGGAGGTAATATCAGCTGACCTAATGTACATGTAAAACGTGTTTTGACAGGACATAGAGAAAAATATGGAAAATATATTTATCGGATTTTTAGCCAATAAAAAATAAAATTGACAGGTTCTGGGGAAAAATAGTTGTTTTTTTAGTCAGAAAATGATGATGACAATATTGCTGTATCACGTTTGATTATCAGATACAAAATTATAACGGAAAAATTCCAAAAAGCTGAGACCACGGGTGAAGCCAGTTCATTTTTAGTGTGCAGGAACATAATTCTAACAGAAAAACATTCATTCGAGCAGAAGACACAAAGCCAGATCATCTCTTTATAAAAATATCGCTTCTCTGACACAAAGTTTGGAGCGGGACGTTTCACAAGAGTGACATCCACGGCGCCAATTTATAATTGTAACGAATAGTATTTGAATAAAAACATTTAATCGGGTAAAACCTGGGCGTTGCCCGGGTCATTCGGCTAGTTAAAACTAATAAAATAGCAGAGAGGCAAAGATAAAAATTTAAAGTGTATCAAAAATACAAATATCGAAATTTAAAAAAATATTTTCATAGAACAATTTATAATCTGCTACAATATATAAGGTTATTCCAAAAGTTCATAAACACCTGCAAACATGAACATCTTTTGTACTTGAAATATAGAATCTTTAACCTTCAAAGACAATAACAGCATAATCAGAAGAATTGATCTACCCCAACAGTTCCAGCATATTCAACACAGATAATCCCACCCCCATTGAAACTGTCCCCCTTAACCCTCTATAACTGAAAACTATTTTTATATTTAATATTTTTGAAGACGTATTTCTGTGAATCTCTATTATATGTGTGTTGCACACCTTTACGGAGCCAGTGGCCTGATGAAGCGTGACCGCGCGAAAGTTTGCCTCCCAATATCTTAATAAAGAAACTCTGCAAATTTTTTAAAATTCATTTAATTAAATTATGAAAACCTTTTGCAAGTATTAACGAACTTTTGGGACAACCTTGTAAAAACCATTCACATTCTAAATTTAGACAAATAACAAACAATTTTGCATATTTCTGAGATATATAAAATGATCATATTGTAGTAAATTACTTATTATATTTAATGTACATATTATTAATTTTTTATATTTATATTATTTATATTTTAATATTCTGGAAACCTCCCTCATCTACTTATATAATTGCCTTATTCTGTCTGAAGCTCACGGATAGAATGCGCGCCCATTGGCTGCCGGATGAACACGTGACCTCCCTGCCCGCCCCCCTCTAGACAACCCTGTTATTCAAAAACCATACATCCAATCGCCATGAAATTCTGGGATATTATTAGGTATATCCCCGGACAGGTTTTCGAAAAATAATTTCTTGAATATCTTGAATATCCTTAGAGTTATTTGCAGATTTGTAGATTTAACTCGCAAGCAGCGCCACCATTGCGACGACGGAGATAGGCTTAAGTTTGCTGCTGACCTTGGGTCATCGTGTGAGTCACAGCATGATGCAACAAAAACACTCTCTCTGGGGATTGCGGCGTCAACAACCTGTAAGTTTGCCTCTCTCATAAACCTGTCTATACAGACCACCCTGACTATAGCGACCACTCTAGACAACCCTGTTATCAGCTGCCTGTCTATACAGACCACCCTGTCTATAGCGGTCACCTTAGGCAACCCTGTTATCATCAGTGTGTTACATTCACCTATCTATACAGACCACCCTGTCTATAGCGGTCACCTTAGGCAACCCTGTTATCAGCAGTGTGATACATCCACCTGTCTATACAGACCACCCTGTCTATAGCGACCACTCTAGACAACCCTGTTATCAGCTGTGTGATACATCCACCTGTCTATACAGACCACCCTGTCAATAGCGACCACCCAAGACAACGTTTTTAAAATATATTCGCACTCGGGTAAACCCCGGGCGTTGCCCGGGCCATTCGTCTAGTTGCTTAATAAATGTTGATTTGTGTTTGTGCCTTAAATAAATTGCCGCGTCATCCTGAAGTTTGTCTTTCCTAATTTTCTACGTGATAATATAATTATTATATACTAACTTAATGACGTCTATGTTCGCCCAGAATTTTCCCAAGTAAATGTTTCCCAGAAGAATATTGTTTAAACAAGTGCTATTTATTTTTATCATATCACTAGCCGAATGACCCGGGCAACGCCCAGGTTTTACCCGATTAAATGTTTTTATTCAAATACTATTCGTTACAATTATAAATTGGCGCCGTGGATGTCACTCTTGTGAAACGTCCCGCTCCAAACTTTGTGTCAGAGAAGCGATATTTTTATAAAGAGATGATCTGGCTTTGTGTCTTCTGCTCGAATGATTTTTTTTTACGTTAGAATTTTGTTCCTGCACACTAAAAATGAACTGGCTTCACCCGTGGTCTCAGCTTTTTGGATTTTTTCCCGATATAATTTTGTATCTGATAATCAAACATGATACAGCAATATTGTCATCATCATTTTCTGACTAAAAAACAACTATTTTTGCCCAGAACCTGTCAATTTTATTTTTTATTGGCTAAAAATCCGATAAATATATTTTCTAGATTTTTCTCTATGTCCTGTCAAAACACGTTTTACATATACATTAGGTCAGCTGATATTACCTCCCATCTTCACCGCTAGAGGCGCTGCTTGCGAGCGAAAAGGCAAATTTGCAACGCAATTTGCAAATAACTCGAATAATATTCGGGATAGAGACCTGAAATTTTCACTATAAGTTTATCCAGATTCTAATATATATACTGTTAAAAATTTCAGTCAGATTAGTTACGTATTGTGGACGTGTATAGCCGACATAGATAGCCACATACATACATACATACATTCACTGACTTTTATATATATAGGGATTCAATTAAAAAGGCATATATTGTATCAAAAAAATAATTTATTTACCAATATTTCAGTTGGCTGAATCTTTGTATACAATATATGCCTTTTTAATTGAAGTTCTATTTATAGATTGCTCTAATTTTAAAAACACACATATATATTATGAAAAAGGCATCTCCTTATCATGCAACTGAAAGTTGCTGATGACTTGCAGTTGATAAGGGGATGCCTTTTTCATAATGTATGCACCTTATCCCAGTACAATATCACATTTGTACTATTTTTTCCCACATATATATGTTTATTTATTTCAATCTTTTTTTTAAAGGTCTCACGAGTACAATTTTAAATCATTCACCCCAAAATGGTTCTATTAACAATATTAATGGATATATTTGGATTTAAAAAAAATCAGTAACTAAGTGTTCATTGTTTTTTTCCATTATGTACATGGGGTGATTTCAGAAAAATTCTTATTTAAATATCAACAAAATTATGTAGGGAGTGGCAAAAAGTTTAAAAGTGATAAAAAAGACGAATTATTGGATATCAAGCAATCTCAAATTTTTTATATACAGAATTTATAGATCTAAGATGTTTCATTGAAAGTAAAAAAATTGCTTATTGATCAAAATTCTATCAAATATTATCTTTGGGGTTTATATTATTGAAGAAAATAGAGCAAAATGTTGATGCTATGGTATATGTTTCAGATCCTGAACAAACCTAGAGTTCATGAAAGTGAAGCCGATATAAATTGGATTACATGTTGTTTAAAAAAACTTGAGAAGAATAATTTTAATTCCTTATTGACAAAAAGTCTATCAACAAGAATCTTTGATCAAATTAAACTTCGAAAAACTATTTGGGGATCAACTCTGAAAGATGTTATTAATACTGGAGTGGTAAATGGCTCATGTGGTATTGGAATTTATGCTCCTGATGCTGATGCCTATCTCGTATTCCACGAACTTTTTGATAAAATCATCGCTGAATATCATTCTTTCCCTGAAACTCAATGTCATCCATCACAGGACTATGGAAACCTATCGCATCTTATTGATCTTGATCCAACAGGGAACTTTGTCCTATCCACTCGGATTCGATGCTGTCGAAATATTGAAGGATTTCCATTCATTTCCAAAATGAGTCTTGTACAATTTTATCAAGTGGAAGATACATTTATTCGATGTTTAAAATATTTTCCTCATAATCTAGCTGGAATATATTATCCTTTTCTCAATCTGAAAGAAGCCATCATTGATTTTTTACATTCTTCAAAATTTCTTTTCAGTAATGATATTAAGATTCTTCAAGATGCGGGTGTATATCACTATTGGCCAGCTGGTCGAGGAGTATTCCATAATTTTGATAGAACTCTACTTATCTGGGTTAATTCTGAAGATCATCTACGATTCTTATCAATGCAGAAAGGTGGAAATCTTAAAGCAGTTTATGCTAGAATTGTACAAGCCACTTCAATTCTTGATTCAAGAATTCCCTGCTATAGAGATGAACGTTTGGGATATCTAACTTTCTCACCTATAGTTCTAGGAACCACATTCCGAGTAACCTTC